TGTTGTTTGAGACAGTCAGTGGCAAGCGACCTCCCTCTGTGTCCCACGCCTGGGCTGATGGGGAGGCTGATGCTCTTCCAAGGTGCTGTAAAATAATGAGCTTTTCAGAGCCAAAAACTCTTGGCTGGCTTCAGCCTACGTATCTGCATCCTGTCTGCACATGTAGTGTCACTGTGTCTGACACCAAGTCCTGCCAGTGAGAGGAGCTGGGGGCGTGTGGTTGTTTTTGGTGTTGAGGTTAAATCCCCTCCTGGAGGAGCACTCGCTGCTGTCTGTGTCCTCTGCCCAATGCCAGCTGCTCCTCCTCTCCACACCTACCCAGTTTCTCCACTCATCCAGCTTCCATCCCACACCAATGACTCCCTGCCATTTTTACCTCTTCTTCTATTCAACAAGACTGGAAATGTCATTCTGCTGCTCTCCCCATCTGTGTGAGCCTGCAGAGACTTCCATCTGTGTCTTATGCTACCAGTGAAGTATCAGTGAGCAGTTTTGCTGGGGGTGGGGGGGAGAGAGCCTGGCAAGCATGTCTGCAGAGGTCTAGGACACTGAACAGAGCTAGAAGCAAAGCAGAAGGGCTGGTCTGGTGTTTGTGTGATGGTTTTTGTTAGGCTGTTGCACTTGCTGAGTGCTAAGTAAAAATATGCCGGACATGATACTGCTTAGGTATCTTTAACCTGACCACAGTCACTTGTTATCTGAAGCCACAAATAATAAGAAGAAACTTTGCCATCAATTGACAGAGCAAATACCTTGTGCATTTGTATAAAAATGTTTTGGGCTTTTCTGTGTATCCTTCAGATTATTTGAGGCAATGTATTTGTAGGTGTCTGTCAAGCAGACGCTTGCTCCTGTTTTCACCTTGCATTCCATGTTCTCCTCACCCTACAGGCAGCCAGATGGTTGAATATAAGCCAAAACTAAGAAGGATTTCCTCTTTTCTTTCGAAGGGATGGGTGCTCAGAGATTTATCAGTAATACAGTTGTACTTAATCAGCTAGAGTCTGTCCTGTGTAAGTAAGGCTGCCCACGGCGTGTTGCTGGCATAAGCAGCTACTCTAGTGAGGTCCCACTCGACTGGCCATTTTGCACTCCACATAGATTGTGCTTTATGCTTTTTTCCCTTATCGTTATTGTCAGTTGTCCTAAAATGCCAATAATGCAGCCATGTTCTAGTACAGCTTTTGTGTACTATCATTTCCTATGAACTGTTTAGACATTATGACCACCACATGATTTGGAACAAGACTGTCGCCCTGTCTGTGGCACATAGAAAATTTTAATATTAAAAAGAGAATGACTGGGTTCCTCATAGACCTAATTAGTGCTTTAGAGCATCTACTTTGTGCAGTAGCCTGCACTACCCGTATTGATGTTAATGTATTATATAATCAGCTTTAGAAACTGCAGCAGTCTGAAAGCCAGTTTCTATGTGCCTGTGCTACTTCATTAACCTAAAGAGAGTACCAGAAATCAGGGCAGTTTTTCTAGAGAGTTGGCATTTCTGCTGTGGGGGGTAGTAGAGCAATTGATTATCTTCAACCTTGCCTGCAAAATGTCCAAACAATTCTTTACTGATATATATAGCAGAGATTTTACAAAATGAGGTAGCTGTTCCCTCGTGCTGTTCAGATTGGGTGATGAAGTAATGGAATGTGCTATTTTGGTAGTTTGGAGCGTGCCCCAGGAGCTGATTAAATGATCTTTCTTACTCTGGATGTGAATTGTGTGTTTCCATGTGAACATCAGAAGTATCAGAGCTGCAAACACAAGCCTGCAGCACCAGCTCTGTACCTGTGTGGCAGAGCACGTGGTTCACTGCCTGTCAGAACACTGAACATACACGGTTACCAGAAATAGACCCCTACAAACTTAATGGTGGATGAAGTGGAATTAGTCCTGTGAACGTAGTGGTATTTTAGGATCATTTTGTAAGAGACTTTTTAGAAATTTAAGACCAGAAGTTGAGGTTTTGCATTTTCCCTTTTATGAGTCATGACCCTTTTTGCCAGTTCCAGCACTTGAACACGATTCCCAACAGCATCTTCACCTGGATCTTCCAAGGAGAGCTTTGCTGCCTTCCCTCAAACACAGAAACAGCAAGAAGAAACCAGCTGCTTTGTTTGCTCCTCAGATCTTCAGGAGGCAGGACCCTGACAGAGATTCCATCATCTCCTTTACAGCTGAGGTGAGGTAAGTAGTAGACAGAATTTGTTGTGGTTCCCTGGGGTAGCAGGTTCTGTTGTTCTGATGTATTTGGATCAATGAGCTACAGAGTAAAGAATCTTGTCTAAGGGAAACACAATAAAATACCCTGTAAGATTAATAAAGGAGATGAGGAATCCAATTAGGGCACAGATCCTGCCACTTCAAATCATTCTGGGGAGGATCCCCACAGTTAAGTCCTGGGTATTACCTAGCTAGAGGTGGGAGCAGGCCATGGTTGATCAATTTGTTCCAGGTCCTGGTATGGATAGTTCAGGGAACTAAAGCAATGACAGATGAATGCAAAGTTCAAAGATCAGAAAAGAATTAGGAAATCTGTATGTATTGCAAGTTGGTAGAATACAGGAATTTCTTAACATCACATACCTTTGTCTTGGAGACACCAAAACAGAGATCACAGCACCGTGTAGGTTTTACACTTTTATTAACAAAGAACCCATAGGGCTCACTCATTAGTACAAAATACAATCATGTTCCTGTGTGTTAAACAGCATGGTTGGGTTTTTTATTTTTTTTTTTATTTTTTATTTTGTCTCTTTTAAACTGTTTCACAGTTATCAAAACAAAGCCCCTGCATATTGAACTTAGTATTGTGCAAATAGTGATTATTTTAAGGATCAATTTCTGCACTAAGCCACGTGTCAGAGAGCAGAATTTAATCTCATTTTCAGCCCTCCTTTGAAGGGCCACGTGTGCTTCCAAAGAAACACATTCTAGTTGTCTTTTTTGCAGCAAACAATCTAAGGCCACAGTTTATCTGCAAATAATAATAGTAAAAAAAAAAACTCCTCAAGGATTTTAGGAAAAAGAAAAGCACATCTTTACCCTTCATGCTCTTGTTTGCTTGACCATGCTTATACCAGGTAGTACACATCACCTATATCGGGTGCTCAGTCCCAAAAAAGCACCTAAATGTTCTTTAAACTAGTATTTTGAATTTTTTAACATGCAAGTTAATACACAGCCACATTACTTTTCAAGTAACTATAATGGTCTGTTTATGGAAAAAAATGCCTGTTCCCTTTCCAGGTGATGTGAACAAAAATCCTGCATTGATTGTACAGGCAACGCCATCACTTAAATAAAAGGCATGAGAGCTACATCTTGAGACTTAAGATAAATACTATTTTTTCAGAATGTCCTTTCTGGAACATGCACTCTAATTTTGGTTAAAGCTGCATTTGCTATAGAAGTTGCAAATGGAAAAAAAAAAAAAAATAACTGCAGTTTGGTAAGATGAATCTCAATCAGTATGACTTTTACACTGATGTAAAAGTGACTTGAGGTGAAGTGCTGGAAATGAGACAATGTAAGGAAGTCATACTACAAGACTAAAAATATATATCCGTGTGTGCCTGTAGAAAAAATCCCTGCTTCTGAAATGATGACAAATCTCATAAAAAACCATTTCAACTTTTTTTAAACTGCAGCTACTGATGAAATGAAGGAAACTGTTACTGTTCTTGAAGTTATCCAAAAGTACAATGTTTTACCACATGAAGCACCGGGTTTTGAACCCAAACCCTTCTGTAAGACATATGGAGAAGTTCTTGTAGTTCAAAATCCCCTGTAGTTTAGAGACTCGACTGTAAACGTGCATATTCAGAACGCTGTGTTTCTGCTCCTTTAAGTGATGGTGGCTTACTTATTCCAGCTGATGCTTGGCAGGAAGCAAACATTCTACTTTAAAGGAAGGCAGCAGAAGGGCCAAGTAAAATGCTGTGCCTTCACTCTTAGCAGCAACAAACTCTCACTGTTCTAATGACCTGAGGAAGAAAACATTAAAATATTGCACCAAAACAAAATTAAACAGCAAAAACAAACAAGGGAAACAGACAAAAACCAGTGTGGATAGCAGATGACCAGTGCAGCCCCTGACAATAGATCTCTAGACAAAAATGCAAGAGCAATGAAAAGCTTTGTGCCGTTATTAGAGGGTTTTGTTCCCCTGACGTCTGCTTTCACTTCAGTTAGAAGCTAGGCCTATTCTGGCTCTATTTAAACCTCTCCCTACGCCTCCTATCTCACTGACTAACCACAGAAACCACTTAGGGTCCCTAGAACCTTAAAGTATACTGGAGCTTTAACAAGACTTTTTATTTTTGGTCTCAGATCTGACTGTAAGTAAATATCCAAAACAGAGGTAGGCTTATAAAGGCTTCTGAATAAATAAGTATTGTCCATTTTACTAAGGATACCTGCTGTTGGCAAAAGGATTCTCCCTCGCCACGCTACCCATAGGCTTAAGATGCAGAAAAAGAACTCACAGTAGAAGAGGCTAGAATAATTCCCTTAAGAAATCCCTTGAAAGAAAGCATAGTGCATAAGCTCTTATCAAAGTTCCACTCTTGTACATCCGTGTGTCTTTCACTCAGTAAATGGCTGCCTTCATCACGTTGCGCAAGAGCCGCTCTCACCCGTGACGTCTTTAGGATCATTATGCCTGATGAAATAGTACCACTTGGCAGTCGTTGGAAGGGCAGGTTCTCATGAAACACAAAGTTAAGCTCGAGAGAAGGCTTCACTCCACATTTTAAGTAGTGTTCCTTTCTTGGGCCCCAACAGTGCAAAACCGAAGCCCCCTGAACAGTGGAATCTTGGAAATGTTTTCTTGCTCCACATTCTCTTCTGCTATGCAAGTTTGATGACCAAAATTCTCAACATCAACATGATTATGTAAATTCTTCTGGAGTGTTCCAAACAAAATATAATTATTCTTTCTCTTCAGAAGATCCTTACATCTCCTCCTTGTACTTTTATGTAGTATATCCACTTTTTAGAAAGCACTCAGCGTTTCCAGGTGATTCTCAAGTGTCCCAAGCATTGCTGCTCACATGATATCCTCTGTGCAGACTAATCCAGCAGATTCTCTTCCATCACCCAACATGCTCGTACCTCCCCCCTCCATTTTCCTTGACCTTTCTTGCACACAAACTGAAGTTTTGAAAAAGAAAACTGGTTCCTTTTCAGCTGCACTATCAGCTTAAGCAGCAGAAAGATTAAGACATTCATCACAACGATCCCATCACAAATCCTCTTCAGAGCATGAATGAAACGGGCTGCGTTTCTTCTACATCAGTTGGATGTGGATCAATCTGCAAGAAGAAAGGCAACAATTACTGCCTGTAATTTTTGCAGTTCTGCATACAAGGTTGTTTTTTTTTGCCATCTGACAATAGAAACACCACCTGCTGTTTATTTTTTTTACCTCTGAATAAAGAGGTGGAGGCTGAAACCGGAACTCTTGTATGTAAGCAAAGACAGGACAACACAATTGTTCCTCACAGTCAATTGGTGGTGGATAAGCAGGAACATGTCTGGAGAACTCTTCCTCAGACACTACATCAGCATAATTTGGTGGTGCTGAAACACAAGAGATGCTACTGTCAAATTTCAAATGATTCACTCACAGCAAGACAACAATGCTTCACAGCATCCGAGACCACAGAGACTTTACTCATTAAACACTGTACTACTGCCAAATTGCATGAAGTGCACTGTACTCATAAATACTCAACTAGAATGGTGGTTTTAATAAGCTGAGGTGATGCAGCAAGAACACTACAGATACTTTTAGGGCTACTCCAGCAGCAAACCTGTGTTGTATCAAGATATATAACTTTCAGGTGTCTACCCCCAAAGTAGAACTCCCACTCTCACAAGTTATCTCAAGATTCACCTGAAAGCAGTTATAGATAGGGATAAAAAAAAGACTGGAGTTAGGGTATCCTTGCCAGTCCTTTTGGATCTTGACTTAGATGGATGTGCCTGGCTTCTCATGAGTCACACTTTAATGGCCTACATCCCTAGTAGTGCCCTTAACCCAGCACTACAACCCCTCTGTTGTAGACAGTACTGTGCTGCATTAGAAAGATTCAATATGTGTTACCTTCAGGGTGTTCTGGCATGGTCAGTGCCAGCCAACTCATATCCATACTGAACTGGCTGGTAATGCTGGAGTTTCTGCTTGAAAATCCAATACATGGAATAGTGCCAATCACCAGAGGCATTTCAATCATCAATTTCTTAGCACCAGGAATATGGATATACACCTATGTGGCAATCCCCAAATAAAAGAGAAAACATCATGAGACCCTACTGAGCTGCTGCTCCTGGAAACTGCCCTCCTCCCTAATCTGCAGTTTGTTTTAACAATTAGAAGTATTCTCATCTCAGATATGTCTAGCTCATACTCTGGCAGCTGTCCTTATTTTCTGGCAACTTCATTTGTACCTCGTCTCTAGATGACGTTATGAAGATACAAAACAGAAATAATTATGCATTTGACTTTCAGTCCCATCTTCCCATTTTGAAAAGAATCACCAGGGAAACCCATTCAGCTTGAACTGCTTTCCCCTAATAACCTCTGCAGGTCTAAAACTAAGTTGCTTCTTCCTCAGAAATGTTTTCCCATCTTCCTCATTATTCCCATCTTTCCTTTTCAGAATCTCTTCATCATCTTCAGTACCTCACCTCTACAGTATACAATATTTATATTTTGTTGTTGCCAAATTCAGAATCTAATAGCTGCTCAGCAGAGAAAATTCTTCTGTTCCCAACTCAATCTACTATTCAAGAGTAATTAGTAATAAATTCATTTGTAATAAAAATCCATACTTACAGCTAACGAATATTCTACTCTAATAATACAGCAGTCAAGTATAGAGGGGGATACAGGTGGGATTTTCAGAGTTTTCCCATTCCAGGTATCTGTACTCCCAGAGGCAATGTGGTTTCCTCGAACATTGGCAACCATCTGACGGAAGGTTTTTGTCTTCCCACTGGCCAGGTAAGTCTGTGTTTGGAAAATGGCAGCTTTTGGAACAATCAAACGAGAGGAGCAGTTCTCAATTTCTGCATAGATTGGTATGGCTTCCCCTGGAAGACAGAAGAAGTTCAGGGAATAATTTGTATCTACCAGCTTTCCTCTGGGAGTACCAAAGCGAGTTATACAGCACGTACATCATCTGCAATGTTGTGAGAATAATACTTGTTAGTTTCCTCAAGCTAGCTGGCTTTTATTTTTGCAGTGGTATCCAGGCAGAGTTACAGCCACCTACTGCATTTTTACATATAAACAATGATGCATTTCGAAACATTAAGCATAATATGAATAAGCTATAAAAGCTTTACTTGCAAATTATGTGCCAATGTGCTTTTTATATACTGCTAACTGAATTTCAGAATGTTTTATTCCCTTAATGTATCCATGTTACCAAGGTGGCAGTGAAGCTGCTAAAGCTCATTCTTACACAAGGGTAAACTTACACAGAAACAGGACATAAAAGCCAGGTTACATCCCCAATTAAGTATATTTTCCCAAATAAAAGCACTTTGTTGTTCTTTACACTCAAATGGACATGGCTTTCTGTGAGATTACTGACGAATAGGACTTCCTTGCAATTTATATTCCCAAAGTTGGGAGTAAGGGGAAAGGCAAGATGATTATTGTTAAAGTTTGTTCATGTAGCTCTCCATTTATTTCCTACTAAACAGAACTAGTCTTTCAACTAGTGTTGACTTTGCAGAGACAAAAAAAACCCACTTTATCAGAAGTTTAATATTGACATTTTGAAGATAACTCTTACCATTACAGTATCCCTTCCTCTCAATTTTGGCACTGAGAGACACTGGCCCAGAGGTGAAAAACCAACAGCCAACCATCTTCTCCTGACTTCTTAGAACAGGTGTCTGTAAAATATGGAGTGTTTTTCATTTTAAAGCACAAAGCTATCAATCACTTGCAGTTTAACATTGTGCATGAAGTCACTGCCATCTAGCTCTACGATCCACTTGGTCTGAGTCACATTTCTCAACACACCTAGAGTTCTGCCACCATGTGAAAGGGAACCAAGGTTGGGCTGTCTGAACAAACAGCTGCTTGGAAATCCCAGCCTGCATTTAGGACCCTATCAACTAGGTAGCACTGAGACCAACGTGCACCTGAACATCATCTGTCTGTAAAAGGACTGATGCAGCAAATTTTACAGGCATGACTTTTGAAAGGTCTGCTGGAGTGCTGCAGTATTCATGCCTGTATTCCTCAGCACAGGAGAATGCAGAATTAATTTCATCTGCAAGCAACTAAGAGTTAAGCAGGTGAACTGCTTTTACCTCTGTACCCTGTGTAAGGAAGGGCAAATGTATACACACTGGGCTATGGTGATGCAGCTCTGTAACTTGGAAGCCACACAACCTCCCAAAAAAATTAGGTTAATGACAAAAAAAAGTTTTAATTCTTCAAGGAGAACTGTCACATCACATGACATTTACACTGTCTGTAAAATCTTCATTAGGGTCAACTTAGAACAGTGAAGGGTCCAAGCCAGGATTCACACTACTTAAAATCATTTACTAAGCACTAGTGCCCAGTCAATATAATTACAAAGTCTGAAATTTGTCTTGTTTTGCACTTTTTTTTGGTGGTAGCTTTGGAATCCATTCAGACAGTCACTGCCTACTTTATTGCTAGTCTATGGTCTGCTCCATCCTTGCAGTATCTGGATCTGGTGCCTCCACACTCCTAACGTACATCGCTGAACAGAAAGACTGCATTCTGCTTGCAGATGTCACTGCCAAACCCTAAGTTCTCTCCAGAAAGATTAAAGCATCTAAAGAGATAAAAAAAATAACAAACCACTGTTCAAAACATCTCTTAGCTATATTCACATCATGGTGAAATGTTAAAATTATCCCAGCATTTTAAATAAAATAGAAATTACTCATTCATATTTAAATGAATAACCATTTAGATCCAGTTGCTATCATGAAAGTGCAAGGTATAATTTTATATTATTTTCATAATATGGGTTGAGATAAAAGAATCCAGCTCATTAGCTTCCATCTTGCCTATTTTCTCATTACTTAATGCTTGATCTTTCTTATTACTCTACAGTATTTCTAGGGCTTATTAGAAACTCAATGCTTTAATGTGGCCAAATCTGTCATAAGGAAATAACTGAAAAGATCTCTGAAGCAGCTGCACACACACACTTAATGTTAGAAAACGACGTGCAGAATGGAAGGATACATAACATAATGGCCAGAGCATAAATGACAGCCTGGGCATGATTAATGCTCTTCTCTAATTACTGTTCCTCAACCTACTATTATTGTAGAGTTTAGGACACTGCAGCCCTGTGAATGTAGTTGCTCTGGTAAGAGTAACTACTTTAGGCTTGTGCATTATTATTATTAAGCCTTATTTATGCATCTGAAGCCTGCATAACTTTTTGGCACGAGCATCTCTGCCAGCAGGGATGTAATCAGTGGTGTTAAAATAAAAAAGCCACTGTTTGCTATTCACACAACCTAAGATCATCTATTTATAGAGAAAAGCTCAGGGAGCTTATATGCTTTCAGAAGTCAGAAAATGACACTCCAGAATAACATGGGAATGGTTATGGCTGGATGTGAATGCGTGTTGGAAATCATTTTCTTTTTTTTTGGCAGCTGGCTTTTGTGGGTGGGGGAGGAGGAGAAGGAGGAGGAGGAGGAGTGGAAGAAGCTTTTACCAATAAAGCTGGTGAGCTGACATCGATATGGCTAATGACCTGGAGCTCTGTCTGGACACTTTGCTCGGGTGCTGCAGGCCTCTCCAGAGTTGCTTTCACATAGTACTGGATGCTGCCATACTTCCCAGTAAAAGAGGTCACCAGAGGCCTGAAAGGAGCAGACATAAGAGTATTACCTTAAATTTTTAACTCAGTTCCAAACATGAGCACTTCCTGTGTCCAGAAGTGTTTCCTCATTTACAGCTTGTACTTTTAGTACTTTTAGTGTCCTTGGGGACACTGCAGCAAACGTGGCACCTCTGCGTGGTGGTGGGGACAAGCACATAAAGCTGAGTTATCCATCCAGTATTAAAAACCAAAACAAACAACCCAACCCAAATTACATTCATGTTCCACAACGAGCACTGTCCAGCACAATCCCTTCAAGCTGGATTATTCAACTTACTCTTGAGGGAGTTGAAAGCTGAACGGAAACTCATGTCTTCCATCTAGAAGAATTAAGCTTTCCTCACCTGCAGGATGAAAACGAATCCTATGTTTAAGTTACTCCATAAATAGAAGAACAAAGCAGACACTTTAATATGTTATTTATGTATAAAACCGCCCAGATGCAAGGGACGAGGAGAAGTTTTTATTGATCCCAGTGGGTTCTGGATTAGAGCCCATGCTTTATTTATGCTCTGATGTGATTTCAATGAAAAAAAAAATCAAGGAAACAGGGAGACCTTGAGTTTCAGTTCAGGCCTCTGGCCAATTTCTAATCCAAAATGGCTTCTGGAAAACATACAGCAAGTTTCTTTTCCTTTTCAGCAGGACAGTAATCCATCTACGCTTTCAAATGGCCATTAAACTAACTTTTGTGCCAGAGAGCTGCAGTTTGTGGTGTTATGAAATACCATGAATGTATTCATAGACGGCCTACTGTTACACAATTTTGAAGGCCTGAATTTACTTTTCCTACAGATAAACCTGCGATGCGTTTCACCCCACCGGAACGAAATGCCATTTCAGTTTTTCAGTGCTGCGGATGCAGTCCTGATGCTGCTGCCAGGGCACGAGGGACACACAGATGCCTCTCCTCTTCAAGGAGAGGAAGCCGAGAGCTGCGGGCTTTCCTCTGGCGCCGTTCCGCGTTTTTCAGCCGTTTATATAAGGAGCCGGGTGCTCGCTGTGGCTGCGCCCGGCGGAGGCTCCC